GGCCGCGGAAGGGTCACATGACCCCCGCGGAGCTCCCTCCTCCCTCCGCCCAGCTCCTCCGTACCGTACCACCCACGGGCAGGAGGGGGTTGGCCCCAATTGGGCACGTTCACTGTCCTGTACCACAGTGAGAATATTATTTCCCGCTAGAAACTAAGTGGGGTCTCGTTCCTTTTCCCTTAAGCCGCTGTAGAGGAGGCCTTTAGGATTCCGTTCCCCTCTTCCCGCCGCAGATGGTACAGCCCTCCTTTCACTCAGTTGCGTCGGCCCCAGCTGAGCGCTGTCATTAGCATAAGGGGCGGGGCCACGGGGCTAGGCCCCGCCCCTCCCCGGGGGGGGAAGACGGGGTCTGTTCCCTCCCCCTCTGCCTATGACGTGGCCGACGTGTGCGCGCCCCGCCCGGGGCCCACGAGGGGCAGCTCCGTGCTTCGGGGGGCCCCACCCGTGACGTGCCCAGGAGGGGGGAGGTCCTGGCGGTGGTGGGACCGTCGCTTCTGGCCGTGCGTGGGGACAGGCCCCCGCCCGCGGGACCGGACTGACTGCTGGGCGGGCTGAGTCACAGTCGCACCAGGCGGGACGTGCACGTGGAGCGGGCGGGGCCGCTGTGCCCGGAGCTCTTCAGAGCTGGGAGAAACCTGTGCGACTGCAGGCTTGAGGGCGGCCGAGGAGGGGAAGGAAAGAACTTGCTGGAGAGCTCTGTTCTGCTCAGTCCTTCAGCAACCTGGAGTCCTCTCTTCTGCCGTTTGGCCAGGGGGAAATCAGGCTGACAGAAGCCGCTGTTGGTGCATGGAGGCAATGGAGCTTCTTCCTTCCAAGACACTTTCCCCAGGCCTGATGGAGAGCCAGGTGTCCTGGGCTGTCTCCTTGTCTATGCCCCTGATGGTGTGTGGCACTTTGGCTGTATCACACGTGCTGTTCCTGAGTCTTGGTTTCTCCATCAGTGAAACAGGGATGACAGTAGTCCTTTGCCCATGTAGAGAGGGAGCCCCTGGAGGTGCCCTTGACTGCTTGTGGGCATATGCCTTTTTCTGGATCTGTACCAGGATGCTCCCACCACTCCAATGCTGTACTGTATACAGTCCACTCCAGGGTTTGCTTTTCTAGGATGCAGCCATCTTTGATCCCCTTTTCCACCCAACACTCTTCAGCTTCCTGATGTTGAGGAATTCTGCATATTTCTCTCATTGTTTTTCTGTTCAGGTTTTCCATTCAGATTTTCATTCAGTAGGCTGATCTACTTGGGGATGATCTTGCTTGAGCAGGGGGTTGAACTAGATGATCTCCTGAGGCACGAACGCCATGTGCCCCTGGAGGCTGGGGAGGCATGGTGACTGCCCGCAGGTGGCGGCAACAGTGTTGGCAATGGGGGCATGGAGTGGCGACCACCAGCAGACAGCAGCGGCAACCAGCAGCGATCGGGGACTGCCCACAGATGCAGTGGGGGTGGGGGGGTGGCGAGTGGTGACCGCCTGCAGGCACTGTTGGCAGCTTTGATGGTGCTTTTTGCAGGGGTTGCACCGCTAAGCTCAGTGGGTGCACGTGCACCGGCATGCACCCCCTACACGTCGCCAATGTCCTGAGGTCCCTTCCAGCCCTTATTTTCTATGATTCTATAATTCAGTGCAATAACAAATCTGTTTGGTTTTAAATATATTATTATCAATTAAAAACATGGTATGAAATAGGCAGATTAACACAAACTCACATTTTTAGACAGGGTGCAGTATAATTTAGTCAGGATGTAATAACAATCCTGAATCATTTCAAAACTGTATTGATAAAATATATCCTAAAAACATATTTTTATTTCATTGATTCAAAAGATATACATAAAGATAAAAAGAACTTCATCTTCTATCACACTTTGGCCATTTTATTGTGACTAATTTCATGTGCTGCTTTTCACTAATAATACATAGATCATGGGCCAGCAGCTTTTTAGGAGCTGAGTCAAAATAACACAGCTAGGTCCAAGGTAGGCCAGTGCTTCCAATCTGGCTGCCACCTTCCTGTAGCCTGGTCACTACTATTGCTTCTCCTCACCACTACAACACATGCATGCAAATCCCTCAGCTGCTAGATTGCTATCAATATCCAAGCTTTGTAAATCAGATAAAATTGCTCAGCAGACCAGAGCCAGCACACTCCATTATATTTCCAATCCGTTCCTTAAATAAAAGTTTTGTAAGAAATCTATTGGCACCTATGAATTTCATAGTTATGTATGATATAGAGTACATTGCAGTCATCATCAGTTATAGAATTACAGCTTATAGGGACTATGGATCTGTCCACAACACAATAGCAAAGAACTCAGT